TTTTCACAATTTAATTGTGTATCAGTTGTGTCTCATCACTCATGTTGTCAGTACAAGTATTCTATGGTTCACAGTTGAATTACACTTCACTGCATGGTTGCCTGTTTTGATTTGGCAACTACAAATTATATCGCTATCTGCTCTATCTATCCTTGAATGTATTTTCACACCATAAATTATTCATAGAAAATGGCCATTGTTAAAGTGTGGCGGTAACCGCACTGCGCATGTGCGACATTTGTGTTAATAGAAATTGATTTTCCCATAATCCAATGCAATCTTCTAAGGGGAATCACAAGAATGAGGTTTGACCTGGGCGCGACTTGCACTAATTACCGCAAACGAATCCTTCGATACTTTTCAATAACTTAAAATACCCCATTAAAGTTTGGTAACATCTGAGTTTGTACTCGTTGATCTGCACAACAGTCAAATTCGCCATCTTTGTTTATATGAGACCATATATCTTGTACATGACTACCACCCTTAAAAAATTATCATCCATAAAAAAGTAAATATCAAGAGAACAAATACTGTATTTGTATATATATTTCTATACAAATTATGTGCGATTTACAATTATCAGCTTAAAATCTCCACAGGAATACCATAGCAATTAAAAATTATAGTAAGTGTTATTATATAAAAGGAAACAATTTGTCTCATGACCAAGATAATTACAGAGTACTGTTTTCAGGCAATGTGTTAAATCCATCTTTATCATGTGACTATCATGTGACTATCATGTTTTCCTTATAAGATATGTCAGTATGGCTTCAAAGCATGCAAACCTCATCAAATGTTTGATATATTTACATAATATTTCTCTGCTTATTTTTTAGAAAATTCAAGTTCAAGAGTTGGATGCTGGGCAGCCATGTTTAAATTGCAATGAGCAATGTACAGGATTTCAGCCACATCAATGGAGGTATGCAACACTGTGTAATTGTTCTAAACACCTGTCTATTCAAGTAGGTCAAATTTACATGAATTAGCATGCTAATATTATATGTGAGAATTACTGGTGAACATTATACATATATTATAGATTTTCGAATAATAGATGCTTCTAATTTGGTTACATTTGAAATAAAGTTATAAATAAATACAATAAGGCTTCAATAATAATAATCATTATACATCTGTCACCGTAACGCTATAAGTTGCAGCATGTCATAATTTTGTGGTATTTTACGAGGTATTTTAATTCTACCATATATGAGAATGCGATTTCCGATTACGCGCGTAAGCGTCCTCTTATAATAAACATGGCTGCCACCAGGGTTTAACCGGACTTCACTCAAAGAAGTTCGCTGATTCTGTTCTAAACTTTTTAGTTTTAAATTTCGGCATTCCCATGATGTAGCCTTGGAAGGAAAAGATGTATGATAAGAAGGTCATTACGAGGATACCTCAAACATCGACCTCCGCTGCGTGGTGGTTGATATTCCCACTGTACTTTGAGGTATCCTCGTAATATTATATGATTTCAATTTAGAGATAATTTTGAATTAGTACATTAACCTTTTCCCTACCAGACTTTCACATCCACTTTCCTTTATATTCTGGAAATGAACCCTAATTTTGGAGCCAACAGAACAGAAAAAATTTGAGTCAATTTTCAGTTTTTACTCAAAAAATTTAGCTTTTTTGTCTCAATTTTCTGAAGGAAATTGCAAACCATAAACAGGACTATCTTGTTATGAAAAGAGGGAACTGGTGGTGAACTGGTTTCTGTTAAAATACTGTGTATATGTCATTATTGATACACTGTCTTGTAAGATACTCTGAGTACAAATTGTTGGCATCCATGATGTAACAATGTTTTGATTCACACAGGTACCAATTAATTTTAACACGCAATCATGTTAAGTACATTAAGAACAGACGTCATCTCGCTCACTTCACCTTTAAACGTTTCTGTCAAATTACTGTGTTATATAAACTTACAAACGTTAATTCTTTGGCAAACACAAGTAAAATGTCATGACTTCCTCAAATATTTTCGTTGTCAGAATTCATAACAATCACATGCTAACCAAAACACATAATACTGAAGAATTGATGCTGTGGTTCCATTTTGATGAGCAAAGTGAGTGAAAATACAGAATCCATACACTAAAACATGGGTGAAAATAACTTCTATATTCAATAAACATCAGGGCGAGGTTATTCTATTTATATGTAAATATTGGCAGAGGCTCTCTTATAGTATTGCTGCAGAGTTAATTAGTGACAAAAATGCTGACTGGCAAATGCAACTAAAATTGCAAAATTTTTTAATTTTTCAAAATAAAAATACCCTATTTCAGACATTTTTGTTTGACAGGACTATTTTATATGTATGACCAATAACAAGGGATATAATGGCACCTACATCTCAACTGTGATATTGCGAATTGACTTCAAAGGAATGTTTTTTGAAAGTAGCGATTTTAAAATGTTTTGGTTCGTTTTTAAACCAGGTTTTTGATGCTTTGAGAGCTACACAATTTTGTTTTAAATTTACTGTTTTTGAACTGCGATGATTTAGTATGATCCAGGTCCAAATCCCTGACGGGATTATTAAGGTAGCGAGAGGGGAAACATAATTTATAGTTTAATGGAGTTTATGACTTTCCTCACCAGTTACTAAGCATGCAGTTATGGCAATGTATATGTTTTCAGAAAACTGAGATATAGCAGAATACGATCATATATGTTTGATATTTGCTCAGGGGATTAAGTTATGATCGTTCCTGTTAACCTCCTAAACATAGAGTTTTTTTGCGGGATTGGCCGTTTCTCAGTGTTCCTTTTTTCTATGTTTCTGATCTTTTCACTGTTGCTTTATAAGATAATGATCTCGAATTTTTTATGTGCCCCATAGTTCTGAAGATAAAGCCTGTTGGACTTTATGGACTAAATTTTACAAACGTTTTCCTGTTCCAAAGGCCGTAACTCAACGTCAACGGCTCACATAAACGTCCATGAGACATCATATTTTAGCCCATTTTGTGGCGAATAGATTGTGTAATTTGTACATTAGCGTAGAGAAAAGTGTTGAAAGATGGCATCTTCAATAGTTATGATAGTCAAAAATTAGTTTCCGTAAAAACTCAATAAAACGTTGTTTTCTTTTAATTTGGTCACAGATAAACAGCTAATTAATGACATAATGTTGACCATTTCGATCATACTTTGTAAATATACAAGTATCTGATATGCGTGGAATGTTAGATTGTGAAAAATTGGTTGTCTGTTTTCTAAAATGTGACAAAACTTAGCAGTTTCGTCGAAAGTGGATGCTAACTTGAGCAAGATGGCGTACCGCGCAATTAATTTATTCAAGTCTCTTTGTTATGTTGAAAAGTTGAACAGTGTCATCAGTACAATCAGTTCTCTAAACATAGGGCGGGCCTTCATGACAGCATATATTTACTTACGGGATATACATGCCTTCAAGTACAGATATGTTTGCATTACTCTCAGCCTATGGAGAGTGTACCGTTATCGGATTTGTTATAATCAGTTAGCTCTAAGTCAGCACTACCGATACCCCGCCCTTATGGAGGATTCGATTTTTTTAAGAAAAATACTTTGAATATATCAACATCGTTTACTTGGTGCACTGCTTTTCTAATTACGCAAATTTGTTTACAATATTGTACCAGCTCTGAATATTTCAACTTTGTAATGTATTGCTTTCATGATAATTACGCAAACTCAAGTTAATTTTTACTATTGTTAGGATGCTGACCCGGAGTATTGGATCTGTGAATATTTCAATATTACTGACTTGATAATGCGTTGCATTCGTAATAATTACGCAAA